AACCAATCACCTACCTACCTACCTACCTACCTACCTACCTACCTACCTACCTACCTACCTAACCTCCAATCCACCTACGTCCACACCCACCTACCTACCCAACCAATCACCTACCTACCTACCTACCTACCTACCTACCTACCTACCTACCTACCTACCTAACCACCCATCCACCTACGTACACACCCACTTACCTACCCAACCAATCACCTACCTACCTACCCATCCATACCACAACAGATGATTCTGTTTAAAGAAACGAATACAACAAAAAATATCAGGGAAAGACTTTAAASCTTTTATAAAAGGACCTTAAAATCATGTTTAATTCAGGCATATAAACACTTCACCTCCATTTACATTTAAAAAATAATATTTAACTCTGCATTCTAAAAGCTTTTATAATCTCCAAATATTTTGGAAACAGGTCTTGAAAAATTGATTTGTTCCCTTTCTGACCACTAGAGGGCAGACAAATGCTGTTTAATACGCTGGTATTAAACAACTGCACCTGTATGAGCCCAGAATATTATGACTACCACAGATGCAAAGATGCACATGTAAAGAAAGTCTCTGTGTGTAATTCATGCTGTGTTTACATACCTTTCTGTCATCTTCCTCATCTTCATCGTCCTGCAGACTGCTGGTGGACTCTTTGGAGTCGGAGAAGGTGGGACCCTGAGAGTAGTACTGAGAACTCCGGAAACCATCTTTCCTCAACTTATCGCATTCTGCAAACCAAAAAACAGAGAAAAAAAAAATACAATGTAGATATGATATTTAAAATTCAAATTAGGGAAAATAATTGTTTTTCCTCTGATCAAACAGCTCATGCAGCTCTTAAGGCCCTGTCACACTTTAACATTTTAGACAAATTATGCCAACTTATGAAAGTTTGAAAGACATCTACGTTCAAATACAAAAAAGATAAATATCTCTTAAGAAATTCAAGCATTTGCTGCTTTGTCCTGAACAAAAAGCACCAGCTTCAGTTCCAGTGTACCTTTAATCTGTTCAGACTGTCMGCTTCCAACACAACAAATGGAGGTAAGAGTGAAACTTTTGTTAGGATACACACAGCTGTGTAACACATACCAGCTGTGTGTAGTAAAAAATACTATGTGGTGTGTGTGTGTGTGTGTGTGTGTGTGTGTGTGAGACTGGAGGAGGTGGTATCAGTTTCAGTCTGTCACACACAGATGGCAGAACCATCCTTTCCGCCTCATCTCTCTGGGGGGGTCTGAGCACATTGTTGCTCTATTTGTTTGTATCTACAGTTTGATTTTTATTATTTGAGTTTTGTCGTAATAAACAAGAAGGTTCATATCATAATTTTTTTTATCCAAATCCCCCAAAACTGGTGAGTAAGCACGACTCTTCAAGTAACCAATGAATTGCCTCTCCCCTAATATGACTATTACAAAATTTGTGTGGTTGTCTTTAATTCATCATCAATATTTCTTGAGTTTTTAATTTAGCGTCTCAAATTTTATTTCCATTCGACATTGAAAGGCATCACATCGCCATTATCTCGGCACCTCAAACAGGCTGCTTTTGATCCCTTTGCATCTCACCTTCAAAGCTAATTACAGCCCGTATCTAAGCAGAGGCACACTGGTGCATGTATAACACCATCAGCTAATGGATCCTGATGGGTCTGACACGCAGCTACAGCAACCAAAAGGTGAGGAGGCGGCAGCGTGGAAGACTGGAATTGGGGGCATGGTTTTAATAAGGATGATGATGACGAGGGTGGAATTGTTAAGACGATTTGCGGCGTATGGTTGATCACATAAATCAGCTGTAATGAGAGGAGAGCTGCTTGTTGCTAGGCAGAACTGAAGAGGGAGGACTGGAGAAGATGAGGGGAATAAATGTAAATAGTTATGGAGAAGGAAACTCTTCTGAGGGTCATTTTTAAAGGGATCCCTGATTAGTTGTAACATTAGACTTTATTTGATAAACATTTATTTTAACTGTAAAATAAAAACTGTAAAAATACTGTAGGCTGTTTAGTTTTGTAAATTTTTAAAAATATATTTTAACATGGACACAGACATTTTATTTACACACAAAGCATTCTGGGTAAATG